CTGTAGGGATAGTTCACCCAAATATATATATTTTTTTATTCTCAGGCCATCCAATAGGTGACTTTTTGACATTAGTAGAAATGTAATGAAGATTAAGGAACAAAAACAATCTGTGTAATAAAATGAACATTGTTTACAACATTATTAACTTTAATCCACAGCCTCGGCAAACATTCTTGAGCGTGTTCACGATGTCTAGAACACATATTACGTGTGTCTCAACCCGAGATGTTTAGTCCGTGGCCATTTTCAAGAAACGGCTGAAGACTTGATTCATTAAACAACACTATATTTTACCTTAAAATAATGTTTTCAAAATCATTTCATCAAGTCATGACATGGTGAAATAAACTAATGCCACCACTTTGCAGTCCTCTATCTGATATATCCACGCTATGTAAGATTGCCAGATCGGGTTGCGTTTCTGTAGTCTGAATGAGACATAAGAAAGCTACAAACTCGACAGTAGACTAAAACTACATGTACGATACCTAGCAGCCGGGGAGCTTTTGAACGACACGAAACCACGCCGGCTCCAGACCATTTCGAACAAATTGAATATGGCCATCAAACCAGCTCTTTTAGCCATGAACCGGGGCACAGAGGATTTAATTTTCGGCAACGCCCAAAATTGGCTCCAAATAGGAGTAGAAATCCTTAAAAAGCACTACTCGGAGTGCTTAATTCTGTCTCAGGATACGATCACTAACATGGGTGCAAACAGATGGGAGGAGGCATGGGGAACTGCTATAAAATGGGGTAGAAAGAATCTAAAAACCTTAAAGAAAAACACCATAGAACAAGCATCCCAAGTTCAAAGGTTCATGAACCCCGAAAACCTGACGGAAACCACTGTAACCGACACCATCGTATCCAATACCACCAACATGGGGAGTAACCGCCGCAAATTAGCAGAAATTACAGATAACAGAGAAGACCTTGCTCCAAAACACAAATTGGTGGAGAAAGACGCAGAACCTAACACGGTAACTACAGGAGATTCTTATGAGGAGGTCTTTTACCCCACAGAAGTACAAAACCACACAGTCCTAAACCTCAGACCGGGTCGGACACCAAAACACATGGCCTCTTCCAAAGACAGGTTAGCAGACAAAACAAATATGCTAACTCTGACACCTAGGAGACCTATCCTCCTTCTGGGGGATTCAAATCTGTCCCGTCTCCCAAGAATTGACAATGACCAAATCCAAATAGTTAGTTACCCAGGAGCAAAGCTGGCACACGCATACCATATCATTAAAAATAAAACCATCACCAACCCGGACACACAACTGGTCGTTATGAATTTTGGCCTCAACAACAGAGAACAGGGTAACACTATGATCCTCGGCAAAACCATTGAGAGGCTACAAGGTGTGGTAAAGTCTACATTCCCGTCAGCCAATGTCTATTTTTAATTAATTAACTATGCCAAGGGATTACCCACTAGAATCCAGAGAACCTGGACTTCCTCAACGACATAATCAGGGAGAAAACCCAACTAACACAGTCTCATCCCAAAAAGTCATATAACTGACGTTTTGGGACGTATTTTGACCATACGTCAATATCTGCCTTTTTAGGGCCCCCTTAAACGGTCAGTTAGGTGACGGGTTAGGTTTAGGTCTGGGGTAGAGATCCCATAACCTCATCTATCGACGTTTAAGGGGGCCCTAAAAAGGCGAATATTGACGTATGGTCAAAAGACGTCCCAAAACGTCAGTTATATGACGATTTGGGATGAGACCGGGTTGACCCAACACATCCCATTCTTACCTACAAAACATTTCAGAACAGTAGAAGATAAAATACACTGGACACCAGAAACAGCGGAGGCCATGATCAAACACTGGTTGAAGTTTCTGAAAATTGAAAGAACACAACACCAAAAGAAGTAGAAACAGAAAGAAGAAACCTGAAAAATCAAAGAAACAGATCTCAACAAAACAAAAGTAAAACGAAAATTACAACATGTTGATGTTGATTAGATGTGTGTGTGCGTGCGTGTAAAGCTGTCTGGAGAAGTTGAACTACTCTTTGACATTCAAAATACTTTCACAATCATTCATTCATTTACACTGAAAAGAATGGTGATAATCCAAGAATGTGTCACGGGGGTGAATGTACTGAATGTGCTCACGATACCAGCACTTGTTTTCTCTAATTCCTGTTCTGCATTCCATCAATTGTCATCATGTTTTGATGTCAATCTTCACTAAATGTAGCTCACACCTTCAGACAAAGACAGAAGTTATCAAACTGCATTTCTAATTTTATAACATTACATGTCAGCAGAGTCATGACTCATGAAAAAGGCTAATGTCAGTCATTTACATAGAGCAAAGGATAAAAGATTTGCATTGTGCTTTGTTTGCTGCTCTCATTTGTTATCTTGTTTTATGTATGCATTTGCAACTTTTTTTGTATTTTTCTTGTTGAGTACAGAAGGCTATAAGAAAAGGATTCAACCGCAGTAGCTTGTTTCAATTCCAGAGGATCACAACAAATAAAATAAAGAGATGGGGGTAATCTTTAAATAACTTTATTTAACAAATGTACTTTAGGCTTTTGAGGACCTAAAATCAGGTCACTTTTATTTATAAATTGTGCTTTTTACAATATGAGAATTTCAGCTTTCCAATGAAAATAACAGGAAAATAAAGCCATAAAGCTTGGCATAAAATCTAGAATAAAGTCATTGTTTTTGATCGATTCATTTCTGTTGTCAAAATCGTCACCGTGATGCCATCGTCCAGCTCAGTTCAGTTCTCATATAATGCTGTCAATGCAGACGGATACAAAATATGAAGAATTATAAGATCATGTTTGGTTTATTCAAGAAATGTCAGTCATAACCGATTCCTGCAGATGTGAAATCTTAGTGCTCAAGTTATTAATGTAAAACACAGAAATAAACACAAACTGTTTCAGTAAACAAATATTATTTATTTTTATAAAAGTGTGAACCAATGGAAGTTTTTTCTGTAGTGCAGATGAACAGATGCATGAGAAGTTTTTTCTGTAGTGCAGATGAACAGATGCATGAGAAGCTTCACAAACCTAACCACAGCTTTCTAAAGATAAAACACTGGTGATATGAAGTGACTGCATCAGTCCTATGAATATATACGAGTCTCACCTCTTCTGTGTCTTGATCTGAAGCATCAGAATGAAAGTCTTCAGGTCCGTATGTGTCCGGAGAAACTAGAACACAAGCATCTGATCATCTTTACTGTTAGTACTTTTTCTGGCCAGGGTCGAAATTGTCTCCACCACGTTTTTTGTTTGTTTTTGGGTGTCGGACTGGCAGAAACATATGCAAATATGTGAATATGTGAACCATGATTTTCCATTTAAGGTAATGCAATTCTAGCCATGAACTATCATACAACATGTGAATAATTATTAGGCAAGCTAGTATTGGATTTTTTTTTTTTATTAAACCTCATTTGACAAATTCCAAAACTCATCCATCTCAATAATTCCTAGGACTGTATATAATCATTTATTTGTGATATTAGCTAATTGTTGTGTGGAATACCATGAAAAAATCCCAGATTCAGATATGCATAATTAGTAGGCAGTATTTTCTACAGTAAAATTCTACAGTAAAAAAAAATAGTGACACTGAAAATTCAGAATATTTGAAATGTAGTTCATTTGCATCTTTTCTTGGCAACATGTTTTTTTTTTTGTGACCCTGATTAAACAACGAGTGTTCAGTTCTATTGCAGAAACAAGCTTCCATTCATACAGCTGTGTTTGATTTCTGTAAAACACGTGGTACCTTATAATCCAGTAGCAATATTTAATAAAGTTCAGTTGCTCTTCTATCTGATTGACTAATATTCTTATAAATGCTCGAACTGTTGCTCTGAAATTATTAGATTTACATTTGTGTCCTATCTGTCTGCTTCCTGACCTGGTGCCAAATTTGTCTTGTTTTATCTCTAAGACTCACACACACACACACACACACACACAGTTTGAACGTTCTAGATCATCATCTTCAGGTGATAAGTGAGTGAGTGTCTGAATCATTATGAGTCAATCTTTGCGTGTCTGTCTGGTTCATGAGGTCATGAGATACTAGACAATGAAATCACAAACACAGACTTCAAAGGCCTTTAAACTAGCCTGACTATAATCTTGTCAGAAGATGAGTCTGAAACTCCTCCATTGGGCTTTGATTATGAGGCGTGTCGTAACCGAACCAGGAGAAAAGAACTCTGCACTCAATTGGATAGTCGGTAGACCTACAACCAATCAGAGCAATGCAGTAAGTCAGCTACTTTGCATAGCGCAGTTTTCAAATACAGAACGTAGCCTACTTTATTTATTTTAAAAGTTAAATAACAAGTGTTACTTCTTTTACTTACTCCTCCATGAGTGCCACCAAAGGAGAAACCACAGGCTTTTCATTACGTCCCATCTTCTTAACGACCGTCAGAGTCAGCTGATAAGTTACACTTTTCCCAAATCATGTGGAAGGACGCCAAAAATATCTTTCCGATCGACAAATGCCGCGATTGCAGTTCTCTGTTCATCTATTAAAATGAATGCGCTGTCGATTTATTTTACAACAGACCATAAAAGACCAGTTAAAGCTATGGTATACGATTTCAAAGATTGTTCATTATTAATATCCTCGTTTAGATGCTGGTTATGGTTATATACTACAATCCTAACAATATGAATAGGAAACAGAATGAAAAAAATCCATTCACTCTATTGGCTGTACAGCCGCAGAGAAGTTGACCAATGTAAGCTGTCCGGCCGGACATTGGTCAACTGCTCTCATCCAATCACCAGCTCTGCTTGAAACTCCGCCTGGCGCTCGCGTCTCCAACCCAACCGCACCCGACCCCGCCCCCCTCCTTGCGCGAGCAAACAGCTGACAGACAGTCTATGGCAGCTAGCTAAGTAGCATCAGATCAGCAATGGATAAATATAAACAACAACAGCAAGCGGCCCCTGCTTACCCCTACTGTAAAGTTTGGACGAAAGAGAAAGTCTGTGGAGGAAAGATCAGAGATTAAAAAGAAATGTAACGCCAGACTCTAAGTAGGATAAATATAGGGTCCAACATTGACCGCTGGAGGAAGCTTCAGGGAGATCTGGGACTAAAAACAACGCTGACACGGATGACTTTTTGTTGAGCAGGTAAACATCTAATATTTATTTATACTTTTATGGTGTGACGTGTTACAGAGCTTTTTATCAGTTTGACAACTTGCTCATGATGATGCTGCCGGTCGGCATTGGCAATGTTAGCCGTTTAGCATCGCCGATCACGGGTCAAAGTAATTATATTTCTTAAAGTGCTTGAATATATTTCAGTATGCCTAGCGGGTTTCTGTTCGAGCTGATCGGAATTTGAACAATATGCGCTGTGTGCTGCTATAACAGTTACTCAAAACCTTAGAAGAACATTTCATGTGTTGCTAATCTTGCGTTGACGTGAACTCAAACGTGACATAGCTCAGGAATCAGGTAGCACAGAGGGGTGTGTGTGTGTGTGTGTGTGGAGGGGCGGGATGAGTTTTTTAAAACTTCACTTCCGTCTCAGGCTTTCTCGACCGATTTTTAACATTGTATACCATAGCTTTAAGTGCTCTTTGATAACGTGATGATTACGTCCTTACAGATCATCGTATAAAGCCCGCCCTGGCAATTTGATTGGCCCGTTCATTTCTTGCCTGATCATAATTACTCCTCAATGGATGTCCAGACCGAACTTCCCGACCAAAAAATGTTGTGGGCGGAGTTTGGGCTGGCATCCAGGCTAGCTTTAAACCACACCAGACGATGAATAAGGGTCTTATCTAGCAAAATGATCACTCATTTAAAAAATAAATACAAAAGTTTAAGTTTTATAAGCACATGCTCACCTGAAGAAAGAAAGACATGGACATCTTGGATGACATGGGGGTGAGTAAATTATCAGCAAAAGTTTTTTCAAAAGTGAACTACTCCTTTAAAGGTGCATTGCGCAACATTTCATGTTAAAAATAGCCGTTTTCTAACCCATACATGCTTAAACAATCACCTGTTGAGCTGAATGAGCCCTTCTTTGATCACTGCGATCGCCTCTATAATCCTGTACAGTGAAATATATAAGAGGGATTCGGGCTCGAATCTGAGACTGGGCGTGACGTCATGCGCGTTCACGCTCGCCTGGCTATGTCTGGCAGGTTCGTGTAGCTATTCGCCGCCGTTCTCCGTATCAGAGAAGACAACTCGAGCGACACAACTCTAGTCAACTTTCCACAAAAGTAGACGATGGATTCAAAGGGGCTGTTTAGCCTACATCTGGTCACTTCATGCGTTTTCTGTGATCGGATAGCTATTCGATCGTGAAAAGACAAGGTTGCCCTCCGAAACGCATTCGAGACGGATTTGAATTCGATCGCTCAAACCACTTGAGGACGTGGTCTGGGCCGTATTCCAGACGAAACTGGACAAGTGTAAATGCATCTGGTTGTTGAAACCAAGCTATATGTCATGTTATTTTAGTCATATATGACGACGCGCATCACCTCAGATGAGCAGCTGAGCTGAGCAAGCCAGCGCGCCTCAATCTATCGCAAATCAAAGGGAAAGTAAGTCGCAGACGCTTAACACTGCAATCTTCATTAAAAGTAAAGAAATGAACTGATCTTACCAGGCCTGTTGCCGATCTCTCTTATTGCTGTCTTTGCTGATTTTGAAATTAGCCGATGATTAATAAAATCCAGCTCATATCTGTTGCTTTCAGTGACGTGCACTTCATTTAATCTGTATATGGCGCGGAAAGAGACCGGCTTGTAGTTCATTACAAACCCCAACGCAAACTCCACGTGAGACAGAAAATAAAACTTCTGTCTGTCTAGTGCCAGGCGTCGGAATAAGACGAGAGTCAGCATCGGGAAGGCTTTCAACAAACGGAGAGATCTCCGGTCGGCTCTAGGGCTCAAACGGGTCCTATACAAAGTGATAACTGAACGTGTTTCCATAATAATTCAATCATAAGTGGAGCACAGATGGAAACAAAAACCGAAGTTTTCTACTACCCCCGTTTCCCCCTCTCACACACATAAGTGTGTAATTTACTTGAATGCCTTTCCTTTCATATTTTAAATGACTTGCAGATTTATTACTGTATTACCTCATTATGACTGTAACAAAAGATGTGTGCCGCACAGTGTGCGGCTGATGCTCCTTTGGTTATGAATATGAACAGCTCGTGCAAACGTGCGTATGTGTGTGTGTGTGTGTGTGTGTGTGTGTGTGTGCGTGTGTTCCTCCATGAACGCGCACAGCTCTGGTTGCAGTTTTGCTTGTCGCCAGAGGGGGCGTAGTTCTGCAAAAACTCAGATACTTGCGTTTAGCTCCATTAACTAGGAAACCCTTATTTATGATAATTACAATAGTACATAGCACATGTTAACATACTCAGTGATTCAAAGATTTGATGAGATAAATAATAAAACTGTTCAGCAAAATTGAGAATGCATGTCTGTCTTGTGTGTATGTGTGTCTGAATGTACCAAGAGCTAAAAAAAAAAAACACACACACAACAAGTTCCTCTTCCGTTTGCACACACTTGGCGAATAAAGCTCATTGTGATTCTGACCTTCTGCACTGAATAACTGGTTCAGTGTACAGTGGGGTAAAGTTTTAAACAATACGGCTCTTCTTGTTTTTTGTTTTTATTGCAGTGTCATGCATTGGAGAGTCCCGTGGGCGCCCGGTCATTAGAGACTCAAGGAATAACTCACTGTTATTCACATCACATCACACCTCAGCATTTCGTTCTATGTTTAAAGGTTACCAGTAAAGTCAAACAATGCATTGTTAACAGGTCACAAATGTTTTGATCTGTTGTGTTTTTCATAAAGACACACCTAATTGAAAAAGAAATGACTGAGTTTAACATGCAGAAGACTTTACTGTGAACTCTAAACTAATACAAATTCCATTCTCATCATGTTTTTGTAATATCTGTTGAGTAACAAATGAACACAAACCAGATTAAAACCATAATGAAATGCATAAACTACAGTCTCTGTTGAACATTTTTGCTAAGTTGTGTTTTGTAATTGCGTTTTGCTGTTGAAACTTCACCGAAAACCCTAAAATAAAATGAAGTGCAAATTATGAGAAGGATGTTTTTTTATTTATTTTTTTGGGACTGTACAGTAGCATAGAGCAAAAACAATTACATCAATGATTACTGTAAATATCAGATCAGATTGATTAAAAACATGTACTTATAAATACAATATCCATTTATACACATTGATCTTATATTCTGATTGAATCTGTGATTTTACATTTATATAGTATATTCTTTAACAGTGCATTTCTTAAACAGATGCTTGATATTTTTTGAGATTACATGAACCTGTATCATAATAAATAATAGTGCAAAAACAAAATATACACGGTTTAATCAACGACTGCAGATGATGAAGAATATTTTGCTGCTTAGATTATGAGAACTGCTGCTTTCTAAGAGAAAAGAGAAAAACATTCTCAGAAAACAAAAAGATCAATATAACAGATTTGTGCATCATTTCTTCTCAGTTATAACTCTATTTTGGTTGCCTTTCGAGGGAACTCAACAGTGCGTCAGTTGCTGATGCTATATTGAGGATCATCTATGGAAAGTCTGAAGTGTGTGTGAAATCTCACCAATCTTGTAAAGATAAGAACTGTGATCTGGCTTCTCTCTCGAGGGATGAGATGCAAGTATTTACAGAGGGAAATCTGCTCTTGAGGGAGCTGGAAGCATTTTATAATGATTCCTTCATCTTGAGAGAGGACAGTCGAGCGTCTGCACCTCACGGTTTGGGTATCAATAGTGGAGATTGAATGCAGAGCATGAGGAAGAATCTTTTACTTGATTTCTCCTTATAAACTTCTACTAATTTCTACACTTTCTAAAGTTTGCAAGAAATGGGCAGATGGATAATATCGTCCACCTGACAGATGTGCTTATGAGTGTAGAACTAGACAGGGGAGGATGAATGTGAATGTCCACTCTTCACTTGTCCTCTCCAACTTAAAAAAAAAGTTAGGCCTTAAAGTTGATGACTACTTACAAAAAATACCATGAGTTTGCATGTATTCAGGAAACATGCTAAGTTCACACACTTTTTTTTTGGTGTGTGTGAAGACGCCCATGTTTCCACTCTAGTGTTTCGACACCACAGGGTGTCAGTTGCCATTTCAGCCAGTAAACAAACTGGGTCAGAGACTGCATATAGCACACAACCTAAAAAGCCTCAGTCTCAATCTAAAGATCTCTATGAACGAGACTTTCATTGTCAATTGCACTCGTTCTTGTTGCGTGTCCTCAAACTGATGTGAGCAAGGTTGACCTGAACTCATCCGCTCTCTTCTGTCCACACACACGCACACACACTGGTTTCCACATAGGGTCAGTAACTGACACAGCGTTGAGTTCACTTAAAATGTACATGTGTAACCGTTAGACGTTTCCGCATATGTAAATCTCTCACCTTGTTTGTGACTCTTCTGAAACTCTGCAACATCAGAAACTGGGAATGAAAAACAGAAAATCGGATTATAGCCTTCATGAGTGTGTGATGGATTCGATTCCTAAGAACTGATTCATGAAACAGGGTCACTTTAGTTGAAAGCATCTGCCAAATGCATGCAGTTGTGGAAATAATTTTACATAAACCTCACAGATTCGTCAAAACGTGCAGAAATTAACACATTTACAAAAACATAAATATGATGTTTTAATTATGACTTGCCCTGAATAAGCATAACAGACTTATAATATATTTCACATGAGAGAGGTTTAAATATGGTCCTCAAAATACAAAATAATAACTATTATATGTAAACTCTGTAAATACATTGGTAACACTTTAGAATAATGTTCCAACTTTAACCCTTATGCTGCATTAGGGACATTTTTGGTCTTTTGCAGTTTAATTTCTTTGACCATTTTGGCTGTTTTAATGCAAAATTTGGCAAAATTGTGACTTTTTGGATACATGTAAAAAATGTGATCCCATTTTGCAAAATATGTATAACACACACTGTGTAGATCAAATAGTAACACTCAGCACCATAAAGACCAAAAATGGCCCATTGAAACCCATTAAAACGTTGTTTAAATCTGAGGCTGTCAGTAATACATGAAACATGATTTTTGCACAAACATTCTTTCATTTTGAAGCAAAAGCATTATATTTGCATTATATAGTGTATTCCACCAGATGACGTCACTATGGGTGGAAATGCACCTTATTAGGCAATGTTTAATAGGTGGCCATTTTTGGTCTCTAACGCGCTAAGTGGGATTTTTTGCAAAGTGGGACTGTGATAATCCAAATCTAAAATTTTCTCTTTGCATTTAGTTTATTGAAAATAATTGAATTTTTGTGTTTTTTCCTCTTATACAAATCGATGGTTTCGCAAACAAAACTGGTAATTAAAGGGTTAAAATCCTGAAATTTTTGGTAGTTATGATGAGGACTGATGCTGGTTAAAAGATTTAACTTGGTAAAAGTGGAAAATAATAATAATAATAAATAATATTTTAGGCAATGTTTAATATGTGGCCATTTTTGGTCCTTAATGCACTCAACGGTGTTAAAAATCTAATGCAGCACAAGGGTTAATAAACAACTACACAGGAGGAAATGACCAACACGATTATTAATATTCTAGAAACTACTATTAACTAACAAGAAATGATGAATGATTTAGAAATGGCACTCAGATGAATGATGTTTCACTATTAGCTATAGAGGTGTTGTGCTTTATGTCTAGTACAATTATTATTCGTATAAAATGTCATTTTTAATAATTAAAAATAAACACATTTTTGAGTTTAACAACAAACAAAGCACAGCTATATAATAGCGGAGTTCAAAACGTAGCCAAATAATATTTAATAATTTCAGAACATGAAGGGACTCTTACTCTTTATTCACCCTTTTCTCGTGGTTTCTTATAAAAGTTGGCAATAGAATAAAATATCCTAGTTCTAATAGGGGCTCATCATGTAAAGAAGCGTGACATTGACCGGTTTAAACCCTGCGAGTGTTTCTGCTAAAAACACACATTAAATAAAGAGAATAAAATTTAGCTTAATTAATTAAGAAATTTACTTTTGCTATGGTTAAATAAATGTTCAGTTCAAATATATTTTAATTTTGGCTCGATTTTTTTCGCTCGATACAGTTGTGTTGATATGGCAACTGTAAACACTACGTTTGGACATGTGGCGTGTAGTATTTTATTTTATTTTTTAATTAAAATAGCCTATATTAATCTTTTGTTCCAGTTGATGACAGAATGTAAGCTGTGCATTTCATATAAAGTTTATAGTGAATGAAAAGGCACAGTTTAGAATCTTACTTTTAACTTCAGAGAAAGTTAAACACCATTGATAAAGAAATATAAAATAAATATACTCACAGTTTGGTTTGCCACCATTTATGCTGTTTTTTCTGACCAGTCTCCTTGTCCTTTTCGGCTCATTAGTTCGTAACTTTGTGTCCTTTTTGTTCACCATTTTCTCTCTTGTCACATTTAATAATCCTGATATAAATGATCTTCAGCACAGATCCGACATCTAAGTTACTATTGCTATGAATAAAGTGCTTTAAGCCCACTGGGGCGCCAAGGAACTCTCGGTTTGCATGAGATGAGTGTCTCTAGGCAACAACAAATGCGCAAGTCTACTATGTTTTTTTCCACTGCACAACCGGCGCTGCGTCATCACGCCAGTGGTGGAATGTAACGAAGTACAAATACTTCGTTACTTTACTTAAGTACATTTTTCACGTATCTTTACTTTACTTAAGTACAATAAATAGTGCCTACTTTTTACTTTTACTTCGTTACATTTTGCAGCAATTATTATACTTTCTACTCCACTACATTTCTACAACTTCTGTTACATTTTCGTTACATTTTCTGATCAGTTTTTCCCCTGCCAAAACGTAATCTGACCGTCGAGCCCGTTCTCATCCTAAAGCGCCATATCGGACGCTTTTGCAAAAGCGTAAATATCCAACGCACATGGCACCCTTTAACGTGAAATGAGACGCAGATATATTTGGGCAGATGGCGCCCCCTAGTGGTCTAACCCTTACACCAGTGACGTTTGGTTGCCATAGATACAGTATATCAACCCGGCAGTATATCAACAGCACGGCCGGTCACACTAAATGCGTCTCACACGCAGTGTGTTTATCGTGCAACTCATACGCGAAAATTTGTTTTTACGTGCATAGGAAACACACCGTGTGTAATATATGTTTGGTTTGGTTAGGATTATGGCAAGCCAAGAGGTTCAGAATTACACCATAAATGAATCGCGTTTACTGCCAAACATATTAACATATAGTAAGGATAAGCATGATATTGCCTAATTGCAAGCTTGTTTCAGAAATGGTGACGTTTTTTTCCATCATTATTGAACATCATTATAGGAGTAGGCTATTAGGTTGAATGAGTTAGAATTAAATGTTTTATTAATCATTAGAAAATAGACATTAAGATAATAAATTGTTATGCAAGTACTTTTACTTTTAATACTTAAAGTACATTTAAAATAAAGTACTTTTTACTTTTTACTTAAGTATGGTTGTCATTGTGTTACTTCTACTTTTACTAAAGTAAATATTTATCTGGGTATTTGTACTTTTACTTAAGTACTGAGATTCAGTACTTCCTCCACCACTGCATCACGCCCACTTTTGGGGGAAACAAGACTCCCCATAGACTTACAAAATAACGGCAAAAACCAACGTCCGTACACAGTAAATAACTTAACCACTTAACTGTCACCGTCCCACAGGTGGGACGTTTGCCACTATATTTTTAAAACAATAATATCTTAGTAAATACCTTAAATAATATTGACAAACTATATATCATTTGAAAGCTTACAATCTCTAGTTTCCATATTTGGTGACTAATTTTCAAAATATATTACAGAGGAGCCATAATTTATCAATATAAAACAAGAATATTTTCATACTCATAAGGCGTGTTCAGACCTTTATTTTAAAATAGCAGTAAACATGAAAAATCATGAAAAAATGGTAGATACCTCAGTTTGTTTTCATGCCAAAAGTTCAAAAGATAGAATCCATTCAATTATTTTGGAAAAAAACGGTCTGAAAAGTTTGAAATATCAAGAAAAAAATAGTAAATTCACCATTTGTGACGTGGCAGCTAGCTATGACTTACATGCGTGTTCTTTGTATGTGTTTCTTAGAGGTTCAATTCATATCAAAATCTGCCAAACTTCCCATGCTACTTCTGAATAGGATCTCTACTTCAGAAATTGTATGAAAATTGTGAAAATAATGGTTCATATCATTCAAAACACGAATGGAAATGCAGGCGCCCTTATATGGGCAGTAATGGAGTCTGATTGTGCCCTAGTGAAAAAGTTTGGTACTGCGCTCAAACAAAATCTTACTGAAAGCTCATTTTTTGAGATATCAACTTAAAATTTGAAACACAACTTGTTCAGATTTTTGGCTTTGATCTTTCTGACATTTTAGAGTAGCCCAGGTTTTGAAAATATATATTTTATGTAAAATATGAATAATTAATATTTTTACATTGTACATTTCCATAAACTCAAACTTCTATAACTTTTTTTCTGTTTCACTTTCTTATTTTATTTCACTTCTACAAAAATCTGCCAAATGTCTTCTTTAAAACAAGACCAATCATATGTCTATATTCCAAAGCATTCTTGAATTACAACCATTTAAGTTCGAAATGTGCATTTTCATGTCTATTCAAAAAAGGGGGGGTGACAGTTAACAGGTTAAGAAATCACTTATATAAAACATGTCAAGTAATTATAATGTCCACCCTGCCTATAGAGCGTGAAAGATACATACACAAACTTAATTTGGCCAATTTAAAAACATATCCCTTTTTTCTCCCAGCATCAAATTGGTGTAACAGCCCCACCCAGTGGCCAGAGGTGTCTTACCCGGACATTTACTTGTATCTCATGGAGTCACCAGGTAAGCCCCTGAATGATTGTATTTCGTGTTTTAAAGTAAAAAGCCTAAATTATAAATTTATGATGATGATGGCAGGTAGCCTGTGCTAGTTGATAACGGGCATAAAAAATGTATCGTTCATGCTCTATGGCAGGCAGGGTGGACATATAATCATTGTATATTTATATTCAATGATTTTTTTCACATATGCAGTATTGTTTCAGTAGTTGGTCATTTACGAATAACTCAATACTTCAGCCAATAGAAACACTGTACAAGAAGGCGATAAAAGTGTTTGATAAAAAAACCCTCTCATTTCACCACTGTAAAATAAATAACAAGCATAATCTATTGAGTTTTGAAAATTTTAAAAATTATAATTATGCATGCTTTGTTTATAAAGTCTGGCATGACCTTGCACCACCACCTTTGAAGGAGTTTATTAAACAGATGACAGATTGTGGTATTGGTACCAGGTCTGTCAGTAGGGGGGGACTGGGAAGTACCAAATAGGCGAACATCTTTTGGCCAGTTAGCAGTCTCAATTAGCAGTAATGCTATAATCCGGCTTTGTACTTATGTTCATTAACATGCATTGTCCCTATTAAATAAAAATAAAATTAAATGAAAAAATAATTACTTGACATGTTTCATATAAGTGATTAAACGTACAGTAGGCTATGTGATTTTGGCCACCAGGGGTCACTCATTTAAAGGGTACATATCATGCTTTTAAATCATTAATTTTTACATATAAATCATACCGTTGTGGTCTATATAAAGCATAACTGCAATGCTTGGGTCTGAATTCCTCATTATTATAGCTCCACAAGCCCCTTTTCTGATGTGCGTCTGTGAGCGACCCGTTTCAAACGCGGCCCCTTTAAATAAAAAGGAGATGCGTCAGACCCCGCCCGCTCTCCAGGTCCATGAGTTCACGGTCGGTTCAAGTCCCCACGTTCGGCCATTATTGCAGTTTGATTAGAGATATACGATTATACACTATAGCTTAGCTTCAAAGAACATTTTTATTCACATGTTAATAAAATGCCAACAACAGAAGACTTGTCCATCAAGCCTTACATATTCGAGCCAGAGCGAGCGATTTGATAAAGACGACGACGAACCTGCAGAACAACCTCTTCATCATATGGATATATTGGTATGTGACTTAACTGTTTTGACTTGCCCTTTCGTAACTTCCGCATCATTGAGCTCGGACTACAAAATCGGAGCGAGAAATAATAATGGCGGATTGCTCGAAGTGTTGGGTCAAATCAGTCAGTGCTCGAATCAATGTCCTTATTTGTCAGTTCCGCTGCAAATACGATGAGGCACTTGCTCAAAAAACATCATAGAGAACAGAAAAATCTGAACAGGTTGAAAGATATGACCAAAACAGAATATAAAGATATAAACGAAGCACCTGAAGAGAATAATTTAATCTTTTCTGTACTTATAAACACCCAAATATACAACAAAATGCATTTAAGGGCTAAAAAAGTGGATTTTGCATGATATGTCCCCTTTAAAATAATAACAAAAGACGTACTTTGATGACGTCGGGAAAGAGCGTGGGCTCACGGGAGTTGTTGTCGCTGTCAATGACAACCAGCTCAGCTCATGACATGACATCATCGTTTCACAAAATATACGGATCACGGCATCTCTCTGTAGATTTAGCTTGTCAAGAAGCTTTAAATGCAACCCCAGTGTTTACCTGTGTCATGCTTCTCCTGTCCCAAACCCTTCTCGGGTCATATTTTTCAGGTACGTTTGAGCTTTAGCTAATGAGCTGGCTGTAGCAGCAGAACGTGCAGGCAAAGCGTAATCGTGGTCCATAACTATTATACAGACGAATATAAATATTAATATTACGCTCCTTCAATGAATGACCTATTTTAGAACATTTTTCATATATAGGGCGCACCGGATTATAAAGCACATACTGCTTAGAAACTATAAAGATACTGCAGTCAAACGTTTGACTGGGTTTGCGTTATGCATCCACTATGTGCTAAAGGCTAAAGGGAATGTAGTAAGTGCGCGGCGCCGGAGGTGAGGCGTTTATTTAGTAAGCATGAGCGAGCTGAAGCGGGCACGTACATTCGCAGCCTGACTCATAATGAGTATTCAATGTGCGCGGCTCGCTAACAGCAACAGTTGGCTGTTTTGAATGAGACGACCCGGTTACTGTGAACGGGGAGCGCTTTATGAACGCGAGCAGCACCGGGTACAGCGTGTCTGTTAAGAGTGAGCGCTCATGAGCGGGCACGTGATTTACACACATAAAAAACGTACTACTTTTTTTTCTTCATCATTTTCTTTGCTTTATTGGCGGTAGTCCAGTGTTCCCCTTTGTGTTTGGCGGTTTCGCCGGTTTCCGCAAGGAAGTTAGAGAAAATAGAGGAGTCAAAGGTTATATGACGCCATACACGGGCGACGAAACGGAAATAAAGAAACGTCCCGTGTCTTCGAATTAAACTATAAGTTTCTCCGTATTTGAAAGTTGGTGGAAACTGTCGGGATAATGTAAGTACACATCTAATAGAAATATATAACATAGATACAGTTATTTTTGCTATTTTTAAAGCAGAAAAATTACATATTGTGGCTTTAAATATATTTTTAATGTTCAATGGTTGAAAGGTGAGTTGAATAATGACATCTCATTGTGACACTTTTTTTACAGACGTATTATTGCTTTCATAGAGCGAGCCTTCCAGCTTAACTGAAGTTACACTCATAATTCACACAAAGCATCATAGGGTGTAGGTCACAACTGCTACTAACCCTGAACCATAAAGGATTTAATTTCTTTTCAACATCTCAAAACAGCAAGGGCAATCAATGATTGTCATCAATTGTAATTCACGGATATGCAAACAAAAGTTAGTATAAATTGCTGTAAGATAAACAGTGTTGCATTGAGCTATATTAACTTTTTAAACTATGTCCGGAGGCATCAGGAAACAGAAAGTAAGCCTGTGTTTTTAAGCATGCAGTTGTCATTATAGGACTCCTCCCCTTCACAGAGAACTGATATAAGAGTGATGAAACTAAAACTAAACAAAGCTGAAGAGATCTCTTCTGATCAACGCATCTGCACTTAAAGGTAATGTACAGAAATGCCCATTAGCATGGAAAAAATGCTTTATATATATATATTAAATAAATAAATAAATTACATTATATTTACATCTTTTTCACACATCCAAATCTCAAACTACAGCTAAAATGAAACTGATTGGATCCAGAATCTGGTTTCTGTCTTTCTGCAATGCGGTTGCAGTCGGTTCACAGGTAATTATCACTATGAAAATATAATTGCATATTGTTTTTGCATATGGCTGTTGCTCTGTATGTTCAGAAATAATATTACAACAAAAGAACTAGTGCTACAGTATGATTCACAATCACAGTCTTTCTGTCAGTGTTTAAATATGGAAAGCCGTTCTTGTTAGCCATAAGTATAAGATGAATATGTTGCAGTTAAACTCAAGTATTTCTATAGAGATGTATTAATACACCAGCAGTGTTGTGGCTGAACACGTTCATTGTTTGTATGAATGTGATCTAAACGGATCTGAATTGTCTGTGAACAACACGCTCTCTTAGTTTAACTTCCTTCAAAAGGGTGTCAGATTTCTATAGAGATTTCCAGGCAAAAACACGGCTAAAACACACCCAATCTGGCAACACCAGCCACCAGTGTTGCACCACCGCATGTGTCAACTAAACTGAAAGCAGCATGTTGTCGACATCGAGGAAGCGTTGCATGATCATTTAAACAAGTTGTATGACAAGGTTGGTGAGGATGGGAAAAATCTTACATTTCTGTGCAAAATTAATTGCTGTCTGTGGTTCCATATGGGCTGTGGCAATGATTTTGAAAAATAATAGCTTGCAGTGACATGGAAAAAAACAATAATCTAGTTCAAAATTTTGAAGCATGAACTTAAAAACAAACTAGTTCATTTTAAAATTTGTGAACTGAACTTTGAACTAGTGCATGTAAAGTGAACTCCTAACACTGCACTGTACACCAGACACTTATACTAATGCTTTGCTTATTTACACAATGGTAAGTTGATTAACCGGATGGACCATCTCGGTTATGTAACCCTCGTTCCCTGAAGGAGAAGGAGGCACCCGTTTCAGTGGATCTGGAGACGTTACACTTCCAGAGGGAGATAACAAAGCCCAGTCATCGTCTCCAGAGGTCAGCTAACCCTTCGATGCTGCAATCGTCCTGTCCTCTGGAGAGCCTGAATTAACCAGCTGGTCGGTCCATTACAGAGGGACCAGCGCGCTCAATGGTGTGATGGAGGAGTGAGGAGCCCATACGCTTGCTTCAACCAGCTGGTAACACCGAAGTTCCCGCTCTTGCTGCGCCACTCCCCTCCACAGAGCGGATACGTGCACTTTTTCCCTCCAGTCGAGTTCCCCGATTGACGAACCCTCTGCGAGTTCCTCCGCACCCTTTCGGCAGTCTGACGTATGCTTGTGTAACTTGTGCTAGGCTGGGTCCATATGATCCCTGCGGCGATCCCATATGTGTATTCTTCCACGACCAGCTCCCTGCGGTGAGCCCGTGTCTTCCCTTGGCCTCCCTCTTTGGGTGAAGCCACCCCAGTGACATTCCATATGTTGCACTGCCCACTTCCAGTCCATAAGTATTGTACACACGTTACCTCCCTTCGGGCAAGATGTGGTTCTGCAGCGCCCCTTTCTTCCACCCCAGCAATTGGGGGTCTGAGAGTCTTGCGTAGGGCGCTGGATGTGGCAGCAACCGATAGCGTTTTCAATGGGATCCCCTAACGTCGTCACGTCGAAC